CAAAAAAAAAAAAATATAATGATTTATTGATTAATTTATTAGTCTTATTTTAGACCGAAATTATTAAATTTATTCGTTTACAAATGAGTCTTCATCATCCTTATCATAGAAAAAGTATTTTAGAAATTTGTGATGATATTTGGATGGTAAAATTTTATTTGACAAAATTTAAATATTTCTTTTTCTTAAATTAGAAAAATCTTCGAGATATAAATGATTTACTCTTGAGAGAAATTGATGAAATTTGTCATAAACAAAGTTCAAATAATCGACAAAATCAAAATGAATTTATAATTCGTTTTGATTTACTTCATTTAGCAAGTAGTGTATTTTATCAGGTAGAATTTTCGAAAATTTTTTTATTTGTAAAAATAAATTTCATTTGCTTCTTTTTTAAAGCTTTCTTTAAATAAAATGTCAATTAAAACGGAATTAATGGATAATAATAATAATGATGATGATGATGATGATGATTTATTTGAACCTAGTTCAAAACGAGCACGTTATGAACATTCAATGTCTATATCAACAAACATAGTTTTACAACCGAAATCTTTTCAAAATTTATTTCAATCAATTAATCCTTATCATCAAGCTGTTGGGTAAATGAAAAAGATTTTGTTTTGATGAAATTATTGTATTTGCAAAAAAAAAACATTTATTTTAATTAGTTTTCAAATAGTGTCGTTACAACTTGAAAGAAATATGATATTATCTTCAATAGATTGTGATTATTATATGAATATAATTAAACGATTTTTAACTGATGAACGAAGGTAAATATTTTTTTCTAGAAGATTATAAGATGTTTCACAGAACTTACTGTGAGTTTGTAAAGTGAACAAAAAAATTGTGTCGTTAAATCGAAACGAAGATTTTCAAAAGGTGTGTTCGGACAGAAATTTTCTTTTATTGAAGAACAATTGATTTAACTACAAATTTCGGATGTGTATGTCCGAGTTTAGAAAGATTAAAGTTACACTTGTAGTTTACAATGATGAGTTTCTCAAGAGTTATTTCAATATTAAGGATCAAAAGTAGATCTTCGAGTGCACTAGACTTCTCATGTTTTAGTGATAAAATTTTCGCGTTGATATCGAAATATAGCTAACACTTGCCCCTATAATTTAATGCAGCCAAATTTAGAATATTAATTTTGTTGTATTTTGACGCTAATTTTTTTCAAAAAGTAAATCGGAAAAAAAATTCAGACTGTCAAAATGTAGAGCGCACTTTCCTTTTGAATTTAAAATATTTTCAAGCTTTATAGTATGTAAAACAGCTGAGAAACCTAAGACACAAAACAAAAACAAAAAAAAGAAAATCTATTCCGACGTAACCGCATAATATTTTTAATAATTCATCCTTTCGAAAGATTCTTCATATTATCGGTTTTTTTAAAGATTTTCTATAAAAATCGCAAACATCATCTAATCATAGTAAAGTCGAAAGTAAAAGGCTTAGGCGATATAAAGAGGGGGGACGGGAAGGCACAGTGAACAGAACAAAGGGCCTAGGAGCAATTCTTTTAATGATTGCAGCTGTTAATTTAGTATTTTATGCACATATAGTCGGTACTTCATAGTGATTATGTGCGCTTACCCATCCTTTCTTACTTGGAAGATTCCTGGAAAATGAAGTTTTTCGCTTTTGAAAACTACCAAATAGCATAATAAAACGTAGTTGCTGCTGCATTATTGTGTTCTTTTTAGCAAAAATGAGACAAGATTGTTTTTTTTTCATGTACTTGATAGTTATCAACTACGTATTATATAAATCTACTATAGACTAATTAGTCTTCAAGGATGTGAAGCAGGTTTTCATCAATAACTTCTTTCCAACTTTTCAATTCTTGAAGATAAAAATAATAAAGGTACAAATTAGTATGGCCTTTTTTTTTTAGTTTTTATTCGATATTTATCTTATTTTACGAATTACCTACATGGAAAATCTTAAGACTTTTACTATATAATAACTAAAGAATATAACTAGATTCTCAATTTATAACATACATTTTACTTGTACAGTCATATTGTTGATATTTACTTATTTGACGTACTTTGTGGTACCTGCTGCTGAACAGAAACTCACTGTTAAAGCAGCATCCAGGACGCACTTAAATGTAGCTCCATAGTAGCTTCAATTGTGATATACGATCAAATATTGAAAATTGATTTTGCCGTCTGACTGCCCAGTATGGCGGAGGGAAGTTGAAGGAGTTTCGTACCACCTAATATTCAACTATCTGCCAATTTTTTACAAATTTGTGGTAGCTCTAGATAGAAAAACGAATTTTGGAGGACTATTTGCCTTTTTCTGGCAAAAAGTGAAATAAAAATAAACAGTATATGCCGTTACGACAGGAGTAGGATTGAGACAGGCACCAAGAGAAGAACAGTTTGGTGTCAGGTTGTCTGCTGTGAGAGGATCGGATTACGGTGGATTTCGTTCTTCCATCCTCTCCTCCTCCCGGTCACTAATTCTAACACTCTAAAAATGAAAGCACTTTCTATCGAATTTTCAAAACCTCCCACTTCTACAAAATATTGACAACCATGATCAAATTCTGTTTCTGTTGACAAGTAATCAATAAATATGAAGTTTCATTCTTCGAAGCTTTGACTATCTTTAAATTCAATAGAACGAAGTTATACATGAGAGTGTACGTGTCCTTGATTTTTATCCTAGATCAAAATTCTTTTGCAATCAACAACAAAAAAATCTTCTAATAAATACTATTTATATTTTAGACCATCACTTTTAGTGAATGTTCTTCGTTGTCTTTATCTTCTTCTGACTAATACATCACATTGTCAATTAACATCTGATTTAATTATACTAATTCAACCATTAATTCATATTCCAATATGTGAATCATATGTAATAGAAATTCTTTCAAATAAAAATTTATCTCTTTCACATTTATGTTCATGTTCATCAATAATTTCACTTAAATATATATTTCATTATTTAACACTTTATCCAAATAATCCATATTCATTAGATGATGAAAATAAATTAATTAATAAATTATTACCTGATTTAATATCTTTATATCGTAATAATGAACATGATTTATCAATATTTTTTTCATCTTATTCACCTGAATATACACATATATGTGCATTAATTCTTATGCAATTTAGTTCATTTGATATAATACCAAATCAATTATTTAAAAATAAAAAAAAATTTATTAAAAATGAATTTGATCAAATTGAATTTGAATGGTCACGATTAAAATTACTTATTCCAATTCATGAAAAAGAAGAAGAACAAGAACAAGAAGAAATTCAATTAGATTTTTATTCAAAAATCAATACATGTGAATTAAATTTAGATATCTTTAAACGTATTATAGAAATCTATGAAAAAAATGTTCAATTTATTCAACAATTAAAAGACAAACATTTAGTAAGAATTAATCAATAACTGAATATATCAAGTCATTTTTTGTTAATAATATTTTCAATGTTAACTATGAAGTAAACTAGATTAATTCGACAGAGTATTTGAATCTTGAGCATCATATTGTTGTTTTGTCGTTTTTTTCAACATACGAAAAACAACAAGAAAAATTTTGAAGTGAACTACGACCTTTTTTCACCTTTGTTAAACCGATTTTATTTAATGATAAGATAGATGAATTTAGACTCAATCGGAAAAGATTATTTTCCATGTCGAAAGGTTCGAGATTGGTAATTTTGAGTGATGAACTTCTAATTATTTTTCTTTTATTTCAAAAAGTTCATATCTTAATTTCTCAACATGGAATCTTCATTGTACTAGTACAAACTCTAAATATTTCTACAAAAAACTTCATCTTGAATCAAAAAAGTTAAAGAACCAAACTCCTTCAAACGCATTTTTTTTTTTGAACTTCATAAGCATTTACAGTGAAAAAAAAGTTGAGATTAGTCGATGATTAATAATTGGTGATAGTAAAGAAGGAAAAAACACGACCTATGTCGCACGGTTTTTTACATTACTGACGGTACAGTACTACAGCTAATAACTTCTCAAAACTCGAAAAATTTCCTCCAATATACATTGGCATACACCGTTAGATTTTCTGTACTTCTGACTAGAGAGTATAGGTCACCGTTCAAATATCGACCTACCACCCGTTTACTATCGTTAAGACACACATTATACCGAAAGGTTTACCATGGATTCTGTCCAGTTCGAATACTGTAGAAACATTTTTCTTCTATATGGAAAATTTGTTTCATTCTTAATTAACAAATAAAAACTAATTAAATTTTCTCTTAA